TCCACTCCACCGCGGCCTCGGCTCCAGCTTCGCTGTGTGTCACGGCGTAGGTAGGCTCCGGCCGTGACTGCTGCATTTGTGGGCCCATACGGTCCGCGGCTTTGTGGGGTTCTCCTGTCCTCGTAGGTCCTGGGTTCTTGGGTCCGCCGGTTCCTACGTCCTCTCCGGTATCGGATGGTGGTCCAGGGCTCGTCCCGTTCCTCTTCCATGAGGTAAGGCGGCATTTTGTGTCCGGGTAATAAGGCTGTTAAAACCTTTATTAAGACCTTTATTAAAAAATAAAAGTCCACCCAGTGAGGGCTAAAAATTACCGAGTAAAATGCGCCACAGTGTTTCGTTCTAAAAAAAGTACTTTTATTAAAATCAATACAAAAAAAATAAAAATAAAGGAAATTAAAATAGCAAGCATAAAAACCGCTACGTTTCAATCCCATACGGGATCTTCATCAGGCGGGTAGGGTTGCTAAAAACAATTAAAAGCAGAGGATATCCTTCGTAGGAAACGCTCTCTCTGCGTTTGTGGTCTGGGCCGTTGGGCGGGTGCCAGATTTAAAAGATGCCACGTCAGCACCCCCAGTGCCACGTCATGAGACAGGGACGGTTTTCCGTTTCCTGTTTTACTCCAGGTGGGTCCCTGTCCCTCATCAGGGTGCAGTCTGGGGGTCCGGGGAAGGAGAGACAGCACCTCCCTTCAGGTCTGGATGGTGCTGACTGCGTCCTGCATCAGCACGACCCCTGCACTCGCCATCCGGATTCTGTCGTACCTTCAAAATAAAATATGGAAAAAAAACCTTATTGTTAATAATGGGTTATGCAAATTAGAAAACTCCTCAGGTGAGAGGTCATCTGAAAAGAAAAATATTTTGAAGGGTTATAATGAGATCATAATAATACAGTGAATGTGGAACGAAAGGGTGTGAAGTGGGTTTGAGTTAGGGTCCGGTTGTCCTCTGTGGGGGAGGTGCCCTCTCATTAAGGCCATGGGGGTAAGTGGTTTTGAGTTTTGTGATCCAGAGTCTTTCGTTGTATTTTCTTTGATGGTCCAATGGGGGTTTGACTGAAGAATGGAGACCTTGATGGCCTCCCACCCATGTGACAGAATGTGTTTGACGAGGTGTCTGTGTGTGTTTTTCTTGTGGATGATGTTTTGTTTGTGTGTGTAGAATCTGGCTCTAATGGTGCGCCCTGTTTCCCCTACATATATTAGATTACAGTTATTGCACAGAATTACATAAATACAGTTTGTAGTGTCAATATTGCCATGTATGGGTGTCCGAAATATTTCTCCAGTCCAGTGATTCTTAATCCAATATTGTTGTTTGAAGTAGTTATGATTGATTTCTCTTTTGTCCGGATATTGTTTGGGAATGATGGCACGGACAAGGTGGTCTTTAAGATTCTTGTTCTTTCTGAAGGCTGTAATGATCCGTATGTCCTGGTAGGGTTGATTGGGTTTGACCTTTTGTTTGTAGTTATTTTTAATGAAGTAATTGAAGTAAGTTGTGGAATCTGAATAAGTAGTTATGAGGGGGAGAATGTTTCCTGGGGCGGGTTTGATGTCCAAAAATGTTTTAAAGCAGGTTCTGAGGCAGGAGCGGGTGTAACCCCGCCCCCTGAGGGCCGTAAAAAGGATGGTGGTGGCAGTTTTAAAGTCTTCTGTTCTGGTGCAAATTCTGTGAAAACGTAAAAGTTGTGATTTGATGAGTCCTTTAAAAGTATGTTTAGGGTGGTAACTTGTCCGGTGTAGTAAAGCGTGGGTGTCTGTTTCTTTGAAAAATACTTTGATGTCCAGTTTTTTGGTGGTGCTGAAGTTAGGGCCTTTGAAGACTGTAGTGTCCAGGAAATTAACAAAAAGTGCACTGAGAGTATATTGTAATTTAATTGATGGGTTATGGGTATTTAATATGTTGAAAAAAAACTTTGAATTCTGGTTCTGATCCATCCCAAATGCCCCAAATGTCATCCAGATTTCTAAAGTAGTGTGGTGGTCTTTTTGTGCATTTATTGAGGGCTTCCTGTTCCCATTTGGCCATAAAAATGTCTGCATAAGCGGGGGCAAATTTCTTGCCCATTGCAGTTCCTTTAATTTGCAGGTAAGTGGTTTGATCGAAAATAAAGTCATTTTTTAATAAATTAATAGAGAGTAATTGGATGAGGTCTTGGTCTGGTCTTTTAGGGTCAGGAAATCTGTTAAAAATGTATTTTACGGCCTGGATGCCCTCATTAATTTCTATGTTGGTATATAGACTTTCCACATCTATTGAAAATAAAAAGCAGTCTGTGGATAATTGTAAGTCCCGGATTTTGCTGATGAAGTCGTACGTGTCCTTGAGATAACTGGGGTGAGTTTTAGCAAGTGGGTTGATAAAGTAATCTATGAATTCTGCTGAGTGATATGATTCGCTGCCACAATCGGATACAATGGGTCGGCCTGGTGGGATTAGAAAAGGCACGGTCCATTTGGCAGGGTCCTTATGCACCTTGGGGAGGAGGTAAAATCTCCTTGGCCTTG